CCTAGCCATCGGCAGTAGACCCAGCCAGAATTATGACTAGAAGTCCATCCTGCCAGTGTTTGACAAGGAGGAAAACTAATGACATAGTCATTCCTGTCTTCTCACCCAACGCTTGAGTGTCTACCATGTCTATTACGGGGAAGGATCTCTCATTCCATAAGAAATGACAAGAAGGTCGCCTCCAAATTGTTTACCAAAGAGCCTGACGGGCTACTGACCCATGGACCAACTGTTCGAAGTTAGGACGAAATCTTAATTTTCGCTGAAACTTACGGGCTAGGGGTTATTCGGCGTCCTGATTACGAATATTCTATCAGTTCTTGGCGTAAACGTCGTTTGAATCCGCTATGACGCCATTGGGCGCTACAACGGCGCCGTTTTGGTATCGCAACTTTCTCCACCAGTTTTTTAGTCAATATCTACTTGAGAAGGTCGGTGTTGCTCCTAATTATAGATATGGCATCTGCTATTCACGTTGACTCCTTTTTTCGTGAGTTTTGGAACGCCAACAGAAAATGCAAAAAATTGTCACTGGGAGGATCCGAACCACGGACCACTTCATAACCCCTTTTTTTGGTATTCAGAAGGTCGCTCAGGAAACATGAACTACGGTTCAATGTTCCATGCATGTACCCCTATATCATGCAAAAAACCGTTTTGTGAAAGCTTGGCATTTCCTGGAAGACCTTCCTCGTAAGTCTAGTTTCTTCGATCGTCAGCTACTGCAATCACCCTTGTGGTTGGGGCAAGGAACAAATCTTCCTTCATAGCCACCATATCAGGTCATTTCTTTAAGGCGACCATTTTCTCTTCGATATTGTCGGTCGCTTTTGATTGATCACCGAGCGTTTTTGATCTACATCACTGCTCTTTGCCTCTTGGCAGGGGAAAAACTTTATTGAAGTCTTTTGCCACCATCATAGGTTGTCCATGAGGTAAGTATTTCTTTCACCCCACTGGCTTCTCTTCAAGATTGGCCTCACAATCAGCCTCACAAAAGGAAACAACCCTGCGGTTCACCAATTGATTCAAGTCGATCACTTGCGGCTGCGATCAATAGTCTCTCGTCGGATGACAACCTCCCATCCTATGTCAAAGTTATATTTGCGCACCTTCTGCAGAAGAGCACTGAATCCGGAGTTTTGTTGCAACGCAGACATGATCTCGAAGAAGAGCTGCGGATTCAAAAAATGGAAAGTGAACGCCTCAAGAAGGAGATTGAATCCTCGAAGAAGTCCACCACAGGTAATAGTCATGGGTCTGTTCCCCCCCCCCCACCTGTCCTCCAGCAGTGCCCATACAAATTCTCAAGCACTTCAGTTGTTGCGAAAAACACGAAAGAATTAGATCTATATCTGGTGTTACTGAATGTGTTGATCCAAGTCCTGTTGTACGTTTATCTTCTGACACTAATTTTATTAAAAGAATTTCGGTATTCCTGTCAATTGAATGTACTCTCACATTCTATCGTATAGGCAGACCAAACCCAAGCCGACCACGGTTACTCAAGGTTGTTCTCCCCAATACCTTTTTTCGGCGGCAGTTACTTTATCGAGCTTCTATATTGAAACACTTTTCAAGTAAAGGCATCTACATTAGGCCATCCTCAACCAAAGGTGAACGTGATCATTCGCGTGCCCTGAAAGTACTATCACTTCAGTAATACTTCTATCAAGCAAAATTCACCTAATGTTCAAAACTCAAGTAATAATCCTGATGGTAATGTTTCTCCCAATTCAATTTCCACTCCTTTTCAAAATGTCGAAAATGTCGTATTTGTTAATTCGGATGATATTTCTGATGTTATCTCGAATCCGTTGAACAATTGAGGATTCCTCGGCAGACAGATAATGATTTGATTTGTTTGTTAGCTAACAAAAGGCCTTGCCAAAAAATGCTCACTCTGTGGTGTATTCAGTATCCTGCCATGATTGTGATGTGATTGTTCTATAGAGACTTGGTTGAACAAGAAGCACAAGTTACAGCCTCTGTTGGGTGACACTTTCTCTTTTTTTGGGGAAGTTATGTGTGATAGATTGTGGAAAGAAGGAGGTGGTGTTCTACTTCTTCCGAAGAAATCTCTATTTCGTGTTATTGTGTATGCCAAATGTGTTTCTGAAGCATATGAAATTGTCTGTTGTGATGTGTCTTTGAGGGAAGGTAGTTATCGGCTATTTTGGTGTATAGAACGCCTAAATGTTCTGCGGAACGAAATTCGCAGTTGTATTAGCGAATGATCATCCTGCAGCCTTCCCTGTCTATTGTTGGGAGATTTCAATATTCCAGACATTAACATGACGTTCAGTCTTCGGTTTCATCACCCTCTAGTGAATTCTTACAAATGCATATTAACCACAGTTTCACTCTGGTTAATAAGTTTACTAAAGAACGTCATGCACTTGATCCTTTATTTTGTAATAAAGCTGGAATCATCATTTGAGTTGCACTTGCCTCACTCTTATGATTTAGCGATCATGCCTCTGTCCACTTGTCATTGAATGGTTCGAGGAGCAGTAATAAATATGTTTATTCGTGGGACTTCAGAAACGCATATACTGGTGGAATTCAGTGAATGAAATGTATGAAACTTTTCTTTCCATGCTAACTCATTGCATGGATCTCTTCATTCCAATCGAAGTCGCCGGTTTCCTTCATACACATTCCATTACCTAAGGCAATTCCACGAACTCAGAGAAGAAGCATATGAAAAGGCTTCTGCTTCAAATTTGGACGAGGATTGGTCCTGTTACAAGCGCATTTCCGACAAATTTAGCAAGAGTTTTTTCAGATTAAACTGTTCAATAGGGAAAAAGGTACTGGGTCAAAAAAAATAAGTCAGCCCTTTACAGATATGTTAACAGTAGAAATAAGCGGAAGGAAGGTATAGGGCTCTTTAAATGATGGAACTATTCTCACTTCTGATTGTGGCAGAGATTTACTTGCAGATTTGTTTGAAGCCGTATATCGGAATTCTCACAACGGTGATTCCCTATTCGGTAGTTTTCCAAAAATGGTTTATTCATTTTGGTTTGATCGTCAAGAAATCTATTCCTTACTTTCTGGATGGTCAACTTGTTCGCCTACCACCCCGAACGGTATATCTTTCATGCTTATCACTGCATGTATTTCTTCTCCTCTTGAATATCTCTTTACTTTGATATTTCTTCGAGCCGAGGTTCCCAAAAGGTGGAAGCATGCCTTTGTTATCCCACTAAAGAAAAAGCCTCCTTCATACGATCCTTGCAATTACAGGCCAATTAGTATCACGTCTCATCCTGCAGAGTTTTTGAGAAAATCATCAAGAAGGAATTAACTTTCATCTAAGTGAATATAATGTCTTACCTAATTGTCAACATGGATTCAGAAATAAATCCACAGAAACTTAAATGTTCGGATCAATCAATGATTGGACTTCTGCTGTTGAATCTAAACAAAGCACTGATGTTAAATATTTGGACCTTCAAAAAGCTTTTGACAAGGTTCCTCATGAGCCGTTGCTCTCGAAATTAGAGCACGTTGGTATGGTATTCTGTTTAGAATCAATCATCAATAATTGGATTAACACCTTGACGAAAGCGCAGCAACTATGTATGCCTATGCCTACATATGTATGCCTAACTATGTATTTTTGACCTGCATGGACATTGTGGCAAATATATGTGCCACACCAGTTACATTTATTTTTTGCGCACATGTTCGATTTCTTCCTAAGTCTATTATGTTCATTTTATAGGTCATCCATCAGCGTAATCAAGAACCACGTGCCTTACGTAATGACTAATTGTTCTTAAGTTTGGCAAAGGTTTTCCGGACTTGACGAAAATATCCGTTCGATTCATTCCTAGTTTTCGTTTCATTAACGTTAACATGTTGATAAAAAGGAGTGATAGAAGCCAATACTTATCTATTCGCATGGAGAGGCATGTTTTTTTACTGGAATAACCACGCCAATATTTTATTAATTCTGGAACCGCCAAAGGAAAAGTAAGTAAAATTTGCCTTTCCATGGCCTTAACACATCATTTCGGTCGAAATTCCATTCAAATTACTGTAACTTCCGGTAAATTAGACAATTCGAACACTATTGAAAACAAGTCAACGCATAGAAGTAGCGTATTTACAGCTCAAAATCCATGAATTTGGTAAGGGGCGGCGGCGCTCGCAATCGCTCTGGTCCCACGCGGTGCAAAATCCCAAGAAGCGTGATGTCCTCAACGTTTCAAAGCCTTCCTCTCTGAGCGTACGTTCCAGGTTCGCGTTGATGCTGGGATGTCTGGTGTCAGAAGTGCATGTTCTGGAGTCCCTCAAGGAGGGGTGTTATCTCCTCTTGTTGAAGAGAGAGAGAATAGGGAGAGAAGGTTATGGGCGAGCGGCCGCCCAAGCGTAGATCATATTGACGTGGGCGGCCGCAAGACCACATGCGAAGGAGTACGGTGAGGTGATTTGATCATAACCACCCGCCCGATCACCGTACCCCCATGACCTCCTCCCCATATAAAAGAGGCCGGAGATTCTGGAGAGCAGTTCCTCCTCCCACGTCGTCGCCTCCACCGCCGTTGCCTCCACCGCCATCGCCTCAACCACCGCCGTCGCCTCATCCACCAGCGTCGCTTCCACCGCCAACGCCTTCCCTACCGCGACAGCGTCATCTCGTCTTCAAGTCACTTCAATCTAGTTAGTTTTGATTTTTTTTGTTGGTTAATAAATCGTTGAGTTTAGCTGTTCTGTTGTGGCAAAAGAATAGCCTAGAATCCTGGACCATCCTTTTTGGGGGACAATACCTTACATGGGGGACGAACCAAACTGAAGGATTCGGACTACTCTCAATTGCTCGACAGGAATATATCGGAAAAGCGGCCATACGGGTCGGACTAGCTAGCGCATCCTTACTGATCACCGAAGAAAGAAGGGGTCAGCAAGGTTCGGAGATTAGAGTGCAAAGAAAGAACACTCTAAGAACCAGGTGATAAGGTAGGAAGATACCGAGTCACATCTTAACCATGGTCGTGTTAAGGGAACGACCAGCTCCAAGCCAGTCAAGAATGAGCAGCGAAGAGCTCAACGACGTTATCATGGAGGATCAGGAGCAAAAGGCACTTCCAGAGGTGAGCAATTCCGATGGCAAAGAAGGGAACCGAAGAGGAAGTTGGACTGAGTGTGTGAGAGTAGTGCAAGAAGCAAAGCACAGAGCGGTGACAATACTTAGTAAAGCCAATGTAGCCAAGGAACTCAAAATGGGTCTGGAAAATGAGTGGGTCTTGGTGGTAGACACGGTTCAGACACTTGTGGAGGAAGCATTGCAGTACCCTGGAATTCCAGAAGGACCAATGTTGGGAATTGCAGGGTTGCTTACTCAAAGAGGAATAGAGTCGGAGGAAGAGTGGGAGGAGTATATAAAAACGGTAGAGAAGGATGGAAAGCTGATAAACGAATCGTGCGAAATGTTTGACACAGGCGTTTTTCAGCTAAAGCAGACCATCGAAGCAAAATGCAGCAGGCCAATCAAAGAGGACGGTTCCGGTGCAGGAAATGGTGAACAAATAAAACAAGAACTTCTAATTCACACCACCACTGAGGCACCGTGGAACACTTCATTCCAGGAAGCACATTGTCCGACTGGTAAGAAGTATCTGCGCAGCTATCAGAAGCTTGGAAGGAGCCCGGAAGCGAGTTCAGCGCACGTGGACGCAGGTACGGATGCAAATATGTATTTGATGAACTACCTAAGGGCCATGACATATGCCGACCCGGAAGTATATAAAGGGTCAAAAGAAGAAAATTCCCAAGAATTCCTTAGGACATTTAGGAGGAAATATAAGAGCGTTATTGCAAGTGAAGAAACATTAGTCGAGATATTAGGCGACGATCACTTAGCGGGAAGGGCTAGAACATATTTTCCTCTCTCCCACGAGCAACAAAAGAAAGAGGGTTCGAGGTCGTGACCCAAGAAATGGCCAGGCTGTCAGCATGCGATTCCACAGCGAGCCGAATGAGGGCCCTGACCGAGCTGAAAAATTTAACGATAAGGCCGGGGCAGGAGATAGCAGAATTCTGCGTTGTCCTCGAGAAAATAGGCAAACAGGCGAATCCAGAAAGCACACCAGAAGATTAGTCGATGGAGTACGCCCAAATTCTTCTGCATAATCTAAGCAGCTGGCCGGAACACTTCCAATTACTAGGAGCGCTCCATAGGGTAATGCCCCATAACGCGAACAAGGAAATAAAGCAGTTAGCCATCAGCATAGAGCAATCAAAAAGGATGTACCCAGAAAATAGAAGCAACGTTCGAGCATGGAAAGCCAGATATGCTCAGTATCAAGGTAAGAGGGAGAGCAAAACAGAGGTGCCTGCAGTAGAGAGACCGACAAGCTGGGAAGGCCAGGGATGTGAGGCGCGAGGGCCTCGTCCCAGATGTATGAGCAGTGCAAGCACTACAAACCATAGGCTGGAAGCGTGAGCGGGATAACCAAGAACCAGCTCAAGGCAAAAAATGTTACCAGTGTTCAATGTTTGGACATATTGCGCGGGAATGCCCATCCCGAGTAGTACGGGTGAACCGCGCATCGCAAATGTAAGCTCCAGATGGAGATAGAGAAATAAAAATGTCGTCTATGATACAGAGAGGTCGTAGTCTGGGAATGACAACCCAACCCGAAGAAACCGACCTTATTGGGAGTCAGATAGTGATTCCAGTGAAGTTTTTGGGAGAGCAATGTAATGCCCTAGTAGATACGGGATCGATGATCAGTATAAACCCCATAGAGATTGTAGCTCGAGCGCAGGATCGAGGGTTCGATGTGGACTCCTTATCGGTTGTGCCGAAGTCAAAACTGAAGCCGGTGTTCGACGCCTCGAATAATGAAATGAAGCTCATGAGTGCAGTGTACATCCAGGTGGAAACAGAAGGCAGGCGATCCGAGTTGATAGCATTCCATATAAGTCCTGCAAAAGAAGCAGAAGTAATTATAGGAACCAACGCGTTAAATAAGCTAGGCGTAGAAGTGTCCATAGACACAAAAAGCAGGGTGAATATCAAAGTAGACGAGGAAAGTAAGAAAAACCGAGTAGTAGTTATAAAAAGGCTATACGTACCGCCTTATGATTCAGCTCTAGTGCCTGTTAAGTGTGAAGGTGATCCCAAAAGCGAGGTAGAAAGGGTAATATGGCCCAAGAAACGTGGTGGTGAACTTGAAGAAAAACCAGAACCGGAATTGCCGTTTTCTGATCTTTGATAGTTTGTGCCATCACAGATTAGAAAACGGCAATTCCGGTGTTCAACAGCAGCATGGAACCCCTACTTCTGAAGGAAGGAGAAGAGATCGGACATTGGGGTGGCACGAGCGCTGGGAAGATTGTAATCCGCTCATATCCGATGAAGGTGCTAATGAGGTATTACCAGAAGAGGAGCGAGTGGAAAAGCTGGAGGAACTACTGTTAGCAAACACGGACCTAGCACTGGATGGAGAACTGAGGAGCCTCCTGAAAAAGTGTTCAAATACATTTTCGATTTCCGATAAGGAACTATCAAAAACCGAGTAGGTAAAAATGACCATAGATGCGGGAGACTGTGCGCCGATAAAAATGAAAGCAAGACCAGTGCCACTGGGGCTAAGACCAAAACTGAGGGAGTTACTAGCAGACTTGTTGGAAAGGAAAGTTATAACAAAGAACACAGCAAATCAGAGTGGGCGTTTCCCATTGTTCTTGTAGAAAAAAGGATGGCTCAATCCGATTGTGCGTAGATTACAGAGAGCTCAACAAAAAGATAAAACTGGATGCGTACCCACTGCCAAGTATAGAAGCGCTTCCCCAAAGTCTCTCGGGTAAAAGATTCTTTTCGACACTGGATTTGTGCAGCGGCTACTGGCAGATTCCACTAGCGGACGATGCAAAAGAAAAGTCAGCTTTAGCCTCACCAGAAGGACTCTTCCAGTTCAGAGTGGCGCCATTCGGACTGAGCACAAGTCCTCCAGTATTCCAACGGTTGATGAATACTGTTTTAGGAGACCTCTTGGTGGCGAAGTCTTCTGCTACATAGATGACATAATGGTTTGCACAAATTCGAAGCAACGTCATCTTCAACTACTTGACGAAGTATTCCTTTGGTGCCCTCCAGGAGGCCTATTGCAGCGCGTGGTGTGCGATGTAGGACGTGCAATGGGACAATCTATATAACTGGACGCGAAATCCCTGTAGAACGCGCGCGACTCGTCTGCTGGCTTTACCTTCTTCCCGCGCGACGGGCCTCCTGTACCCGTATTCCTTAGGCTAAATAAGGCAGGATTGCGGTTGAAGGCGGAAAAATGTCATTTTTTGAAGGACAGAGTAGCGTTCGGGGCATATGATTGACGGCGAGGGGACACATGGATCCAGAAAAGATAGCCGCAATCAGAAACTACCCAACTCCGCAAAGTGTCAAGCAGCTCCGAAGTTTCTTAGGCATGGCGTCTTTTTACAGAAAGTTTTGCCTGGGCATTTCCAAACAAGCAGGATGTCTCTTCGACTTGACTTCTACCAAAAAGAAAATGGGGAAAAGAGCACGAGCAAGCCTTCCAGAAGGGGAAAGAAATGATCCGATAAGCACCTGTTCTCAAGCAACTTGATGTCGAAACGGCAAGGAATGAGTAGACCCTTCTGCATATGCACTGACCCATCAACATGTGGGTTAGGAGCAGTGCTTTCCCAAGGAGGCGAAGATAAGCAAATCCATCCCATTTTTTCGCATCAAAAAGTTTGAGCAAGGCGGAACGAAGGTATCACGTAACGGAACCTGAGGCCCTAGCGGTGGTTTTCGCAGTGCTCCGTTTTCATATGTTCATATATCGCCTCCCCACGATAGTTATGACGGATCACCAGCCTTTAACGGCACTACTCAGGCGTAGTAACGTATCGCCCAGATTAGGTGATCACTTGAATTGCAAAGGTACAACCTCGAAATCCGCTACGTTAAAGGAAAGGCTATGTGGTAGCGGACGCGCTAAGTCAAAGTGTTCCAGCGGCATTAGAGCCAGAATCACTCGAGGGGTTGAATGAAGCTGTGGTTAATCGTGCTGCTGCTGAGGAAGAGACCAAATGGTTGAGGGAATTGAGGAAGGATCCACAATTCGGCAAACTCATCCGACTGGTAGAAAAATGAGAATGGGATCAGGAATTAAGAATGACAGGAGAGAAGTAAGTAAGAGTGGCAATTTTGCGCTAGAGAACGGAGAATTGAAGAAGCCCCTAGAAGGCGGTAATGCGGTGCATGTAGTTCCAAAACCATATCGCTATGAAATTTTTCAAGAAACCCATAGCGGCACCTTCGCAGGCCACTTCAGCGGAAAGAAAGTAATAAAAATTTGGCTAAGAGGTTCTATTGGCCAGGGATGGCGAATGATATCCACAGATGGGCAAGTGAGTGTCAAAAGTGTTTCAAACACAAACCACGGGAGCTAGTTCCGCCGCTAAGCCCATCATAACTTCGAAACCCTACGAGATAATAGGGGTGGACGTGCTAGAGATAGGTCCCACGTCGAAGGGAAATAGATATGCAGTAACAGTAATCGACCACTTTACGAAAAGCTGCATATTCAGTGCCCGACAAATCCGCAGAAACTATTGCCAAGACCCTTTTCGTCAGGTGGATTGCAGAGGGTTGTAGATAGCCCAAAACGATTTTGTGGGACAAAGGAGGGGGATTAGTCAATCATGTGATGGAAGAAATCATGAAAATTACAAAAATTAGTCACATTACCACAAAAGGATATAATCCGACAGAGAATTTACTAACGGAAAGGCTCAATAGGATCATAGTTGCTACGATGTGTAAAAGCACCATTGTCCCTACAGAGTAGGATACGGGATTGCCTTTCTGTATGATGGCGTATAATATGATGCCCCATGGCGCAACCGGAGAAAGCCCTTACTTTCTTTTGCATGGTATGGACCCATGTTTTCCGTCAGAGATCATACCAAATGCGGGCATAAGTCGGTACATGGTAGACAAGTCGTTAGACGAGTACAAAACTGAATTCTTCAAGCGGTCGAAGAAGCACATGAGCGAGTAAGAGAGTACAACGATCGCATAAGGGACCGGATGAAAAAGATGTACGGTAAAGAAAACAAAGTCGAAGGCAGAACCTACCCCAAAGTGGGCGATCAAGTGTACGTGTGGTCATCCGAAGAAAAAGTTAAGAAATTGCACCCAAAATTAGCAGTTGCTTGGGCAGCACCGTATAGGGTCATTGACGTGAGTGATAATTCCGCCCTGGTAACGAGAGTAATGGGAAACAGCGAGCCTATTCGAATCCAATTTGATGTGTTAAAAATTGTTCCTAAAGGAATTTCGGACGAACCAGTAGAAACAGCACATGCCAGAGGTCGTAAAGGTAGAAAACCAAAAGTGAAAGTAAACAGAGTCTATAGTACAAATTCCAGAGGCGCCGTTCTGCTGAGCCCTGCAGACAAGGGACACCGTCAATTTCAGTGCGTGGACGACTGTTTTGCCAAGACGACTCTGAGCGACATCGAGGAAATCCCGTTCCCGGGCGCCTATGGGAAACAACCCTTTGGAGACCCGTGGACAGCGTGGAAAATAGCGTCAATCTTCATCAGAAAGGAATTGAGCATGGCGCAAAAAGTGGAGCTATACATAAAACGGCTGGATACGGAGGCTCTAAAAAAGAGTGTTGAAAGTGGCATACTCGGTCTGCACGGAATGGATCGAATTCATTTGCACTACAACAAGCATCTCCAAACATGAACCGATCGAAAAGTTGTACCATTGCCTTCTACAAGTATGCTTTTGTGGAGCTGAAAAAGGATCTGCCGGAGTCAGAGAGGATCGTCAGGAGCCCGAAAGAAGGACCCGCAGGGTTCGCAGCACCAGAAACGGCCTTGCTAATGGAGCGTGATGGTCCGAAATGGGGACTAGTCACAAAGGTCGTCGCATCTCACAAGCAGCTCAAGGAAACACTGGATGAGTGGAACACGATGTCAACTTGGGTCATCGTCTATCTAATTGAAAAAGAAGGAAACAAAAAAGTCATTTTGGACATCTTGGAAATTGCGAAGAAGCATATGGAAAGCGGTGGAAAGATTGTAACAGCTTGGCCGCCTGTGGCAGCTACAATAGAACCGGAATGGAGAGAAATGTTGAAACTATGGAGAACGATAGATCAAGCATTGTCGAAAATGGGAGGCGAGAAGCAGATGGTAGCCACAGCAAGCATCCAGGTTCTAGAAGGAAAGGTATTAATGGAAGCAGGGAGTCCAGAGTCTTCAAGCCAGTTCTACGAGCCATACAGTGGTGTGGCTGCAGCAAAAGTGCTCTATTCTGCAATCCGGGGGAGGGCCAAGGCATTTGAGCTCCCCGATATCGACCGGTCGTCGAGGACGACGACTTTGCGGCGGGGGGCATGTTGAAGAGATAGAATAAGGGAGAGAAGGTAGCGAGCGGCCGTCCATGCGTAGATCATATTGACGCGGGCAACCGCAAGACCACCTGCGAAGGGGTACGGTGAGGTGGTTTGATCATAACCACACGCCCGATCACCGTACCCCCATGACCTCCTCCCCCTATAAAGGAGGCCGGGGATTCTGGAGAGCAGTTCTTCTTCCCACGTCGTCGCCTCGACCGCCGAAGCCCCCACCGCCGAAGCCTCCACCGCCGTCGCCTCAACCACCGCCGTCACCTCAACCACCGCCGTCACTTCATCCACCCCCGTCGCCTCAACCACCGCCGTCGCCTCATCCACCACCGTCGCTTCCACCGCCAACGCCTCCCCTACCGCGACAGCGTCACCTCGTCTTCAAGTCACTTCAATCTCGTTAGTTTTGTTTTTTTTGTTGGTTAACAAATCGTTGAGTTTAGCTGTTCTCTTGTGGCAAAAGAATAGCCTAGAATCCTGTACCATCCTCTTTGGGGGACAATACCTTACACTCTGTTATTTAGTATTGATGTGTATGATTTGCCCGGAGCCGTTGTTGGAAGCGGTATCAGATGTAACATGTTTGCTGATATAAGGTATTTGGCAGGGCCGACTCCTCCTTGCAGGCAACTATTGATGCCACAATCCAATGGTCTTCTTGTTGGAAACTATCTTTTTCGGCTTCGAAGTCAAAAATACTTCACCTCGCTCGTAATAACCCTCGCCAAGTATTTTATCTTTGGTGAGCCACTTGATAAGGCTAACATAGTGCGGGTTTTAGGATTTCCAATTGATAAGATCTACCCTTTAAGGAGCACTGCCGG